TGAGAAAGAGAGAGAAGTGAGAGAGAGAGAAGAGACCGCGAGGGGGGTTAAGTGTTCGCCAACCTTTACCAAGCGTCTCTAAGTGCGGCTCTCGATGAAGGTATGAGACCTAGATCTAGGTTTTACACCTTTTCCGAGAGGAACGCTCGGCAAAGGATAAAGCACACTCGGAAATGGCGAACATGCCGAGAGAGGCACTCGAAAATGACACTCCTCCCTCATCCAATCAAGGCGTAGGCATGCCACAAGGACATCACACAAATGATTCCCAATGCCGCTACCCGGCATGATTTCATGTGCCGCCTTGCTGATGTGCAATTCCAGACGATGAAACCCTAGCAGAGCAATAAATTTCTCAAATATTGGGCGCGTCCCGAAAAATGCGAGGCCGTGGCACGTACCATGCGGTTGTCCCCTCTTAGAGCACAAGAAGTTTCGAGGCCAATGGAGCAACAGGACCAGCACTTCCTGCACAAACTGGACAGGTTCCCTCTTGATACCCAGATACTAGCTCGGAGACGCTGCGGTTTACAAGCGGCCTCAGGGGAGGCTTACTCGAAACGTGTCCAAACTTTTACCACACCCTACAGAGGCCCTGTGATGACACCGTGCCAGATCCCGAGCAATCCTACCATCGTACAATTTTCAGAGGATTTCAATGGTTGCATCAGAAATGACACTGAGGTACTTTTGGAAACCCGGTGGTAGGGCATGCCCCTCCCTCATCTGTGCAAGGTGTAGGCAATGCCACAAGGACATCACAAATGATTCCCCATGCCGTTACCCGGCATGATTTCATGTGCCGCCTTGCTGATCTGCAATTCTCGACGATGTAACCCTAGCAGAGCAATAAATTTCTCGAATATTACGTGCATCCCCAAAAAATGCGAGGCCGTGGCACGTGCCATGCGGTTGCCCACTCTTAGAGCACGAGAAGTTTCGAGGCCAACGGAGCAACATGACTAACACTTCCTGCACAAACCGGACACATTCCCTCTGGAAACCCAGATACTAGCTCGGAGACACTGCGGTTTACAAGCGGCCTCAGGGGAGGCTTACTCGAAACGCATCCAAACTTTTATCAAACCCTACAGAGGCCCCGTGATGACACCGTGCCAGATCCCGAGCAATCCTACCATCGTACGATTTTCCGAGGATTTCAACGGTTGCATCAGGAATGACACCGAGGTACTTTTGGTAACCCGGTGGCAGGGCATGCTCCTCCCTTGTCTGTGCAAGGCGTAGGCATGCCACAAGGACATCACAAATGATTCCCCGTGCCGCTACCCGACATGATTTCATGTGCCTCCTTGATGATCTGCAATTCCTGACGATGAAACCCTAGCAGAGCAATAAATTTCTCAAATATTACGCGCGTCCCCAAAAATGCGAGGCCGTGGCACGTGCCATGCGGTTGCCCCCTCTTAGAGCACGAGAAGTTTCGAGGCCAACGGAGCAACAGGACCAGCACTTCCTGCACAAACTGGACATGTTCCCTCTCGGTAGGCTGTGGTTTACACGCGGCCTCAGGGGAAGCTTACTCGAAATGTGTCCAAACTTTTACCACACCCTACAGAGGTCCTGTGATGACACCGTGCCTGATCCCGAGCAATCCTACCATCGACATCACAAATAGTCCATCTCCTTAACACGGGTGTAATGAATACCGAAGCTTACTGCATCTGGACTATCCCACTATTTATATTTAAACAGGTCTTGTTGCTTGTCTATAGGCGAGGTGAGACTAAACTTTGATGGTGGCCTTATCTTTACCGAGAGCCACTCTCGGCAACTTCTCGGTTACCAAGAGCCACTCTCGGGTAGCCGAGTATAGCTCCGAAAAAATACACCAGTCATCCACACTCTCCACTTGAAGAATCTATACACATGAATACATATGATAAATCATACTCATCCTGCATATCCTCCAAATAAAGTGCAAGGAAGACCCACACTTATAACAATCTAATAGATGAAGGTATTTAAGCAGGTGCAGGACTTACTCGGGGGGCGAGGTGGGACTAAACTTTGATGGTGGCCTCATCTTTACCAAGAGCCACTCTCGGCAACTGCTCGTTTACCGAGAGCAGTCTGGTGCTAACTGACGGAGCCGTCTGGTGCGAATGGACATGCCATGTGGCTCCTCTTTGCCGTGCGCAGCTCTCGGCGTCTGCGCCGTTTGCCGTTCGGTGCTTGTTCGCCGTGAGCCAGTGACGGCAAAGAAAGCAGTTGCCGTGAGGCCAGGTTCGCCGAGTGCGGCTCTCGGCATTGTTTAGTTTGCCAAGTGCCCACGTTTCGGCTGTTGGTGAAGACGCCCACACCCGGCGTATACGAAAATTCCAATACTGAAGCGTGTGTTAGCCTAAAAAAAGTTGGAGGGGAGTAGAGTGGGAGTAAAGGTGGGGGTAAATAGTGGCTAGGGCAATTATCAGTCCAATTTTTGTGCAAGCCCTTTCTCTTTGTCTGTCTTTTTCTTCTTCAGTTTTTTGCATGCGTGCAATTTCTAATAAACCGCCGGTTGCGTGGTTTGAACCTGCCCCAAACTCATGTCTTTGTTACATTCAAAAACAGAAAGAAACCCGTCTTCTTGTGTAACTAGCTAAGGATGTTTTAGCATGGCAAGCCAGGCCAGGGTTGGCCTACCTTGGTGCTTTCCAACTAATAACTGACCTAAAAGGAGCAGCAGACGCCATGGCTTCTCGGCGAGATAATGTTTCCTACTCCTGCGTCGTACAATCTCAAAGCACCGGTCCCATTTAGAATGCTGCCGTGACGGGATCAGATGTACCGACCGGAACGGGACAACAGGTAATGGCGCGGCAAGACGCCGGCGAGCGCTTCGGACAAGGCAGAGAGCGTCTCCTCCCTCGTCCGCGAGCACGCACGTAATAACGGGCAGGATACGTGCAGTGTTGATGATAGAGACGGCCGAGCAGCTGAATTGCATCGGATTGGTTTGAATAAATCGCTCGTCGCAGCCTGCTTCGTCCGCTGTATTTGAATATGGCTAGTGGCTCAGTGCTCGGTTTAGCCAAGAAATTTTGTATCCAGGAAGAGACAAAAGTCTCAAGTGACTCCTATCTGATGCAAGTGTTAGATTACTGGCTAAGACAGCTTGCCATCAATCAGACAGCTATGTACATTTCTGTACGTAGTACCTACCTCTTTTGTTTTGTCAGCTGCTCCGAAAAAGGACAGACAACTTGGTTACCAGAAGGTCTGGCGGTGCAAACCATTATCATGTTCAACTAACTCGATAAGCCACCCGTCGCCATGTGCAATCGTGCGTTGTTCCTGGAGCTAGCTCCGCCCTCGACGACGAGAGTCCCACGAAACTCGGGTCTGTTGTCTCCACCGACTGGATGGATCATGGATCTGATTCAAAGACGCATGTAGCAGGTAGCCTGCATAAACAACTATATCCCACTTTGATTGGCTCCAAATTAATTAACGGAATCGGATGCTTGCCTCCCTCCCCATCCGAACCCGCCGCAGCCTACCCTGTTTGACCTTGAGATGGCGATGCTATCTGTAGTACCATACACAAATCACCCTGCCTATAAGTACCACAGCCTATCTTTGCTCAATCCACACCCAGGAAGCACTCCACAGCTATAGCAAGCAAGCATTGACCAATCTATCATGGCGAGGCTTCAGCTTTACGCCATAGCGGCCTGCGCCGTCCTCCTCGCCCTCGCCGCCGCCTCCCTCGCCGGCGACCCCGACATGCTCCAGGACGTCTGCGTCGCCGACCTGAAATCCTGTGAGTCATCTTGCTGAGCTATATATCCGTTCATCTTAATTCGTCAGCTTCGTTTTGTGCTGGCTCTTGCTTACACCGTGCATTCGTCAAAACGAATCGTGGCAGCGATCAAGCTGAACGGGTTCCCGTGCAAGGCGGACATCACGGCGGACGACTTCTTCTTCCCTGGTCTCAAGAAGGCCGGAAACACCAACAACCCTGCGGGTTCGAACGTCACAGCGGCAAACGTGCAATCCTTCCCAGGGGTGAACACGCTTGGCGTGTCCATGGCGCGCATCGACTACGCGCCGGGAGGCCAGAACCCGCCGCACACCCACCCGCGCGCCACGGAGATCATCTTCGTCCTTGAGGGAGTCCTCGAGGTGGGCTTCATCACCACCGCCAACAAGCTCTTCACTAAGACCATCACCGCAGGAGACGTGTTCGTCTTCCCGCGTGGGCTCGTGCACTTCCAGCAAAACAGGGGACATGGCCCCGCCTCCGTCATCGCGGGCTTCAACAGCCAGCTCCAGGGCACCCAAGCCATCGCCACCACGCTCTTCGCTGCCGCGCCGCCAGTGCCTAGCGACGTGCTGGCCAAGGCCTTCCGGGTCGGTACCGAAGACATCGACGCCGTCAAGGCCAAGTTTAAGTAGTGTGGGTGCCTCCGCAGTTGGCAAATCTCCATTCTTTTCGGAAGAATAACCGTGTGTTCATTGCTGACTAAATGATACCCAAGCGAGCTGTAACGTGCAGTTGATTTTTTGATGTGTATGTTCCATTTGATTGTCTTGAAAATAATACAAAATTGTTTCTGTTTCATATAGTGTATGTTCATTTTAGTGACATGTCCTCTATTTCTTCATGTGTATATTACATTTGATCCATTCCTTGACCGGAAATACGCAGGGGCACGCAGATGCGGGAGGACGCACCTGCCTAGTGGCGCCAGTCACCCTATTGCCTCGGGATCCGCAAAGTCGCTGGTCCCGCATGAGGGCATAATTACTTTTAAGTTTCTGTTTTTGAAATTTACATTTTTGTTGGTCGCATGTTCTGAAACTTAAGATTTGTCGGTCGCTCGTACCAAGTTTCAATAGTTAAAACATTTTTGTCGGTCCTGGGATCTGAAATTCACGATTTTGTTGGTCGCCCATATCAAGTTTCAGAAGTTGAAACTTAATGAAAATTTTAAAACTCATTCGAACATATTTAAAATGGATCTCATTTGAAAGCCCTCATCACCAAAAACACGAACCTGCAAATGAAATTTAATTTTGGACTTTTGATTCAAAATATATGAATGATTGAAAATCGTATGCCAAAAGATTGGGT